CATCAGCCAGCTGTGATAATGTGAAGTGTCTATCTAGAGTTAAGATGCCTTGGAATTGACCTTTTTTTACATGTATAGACATAATTTGTGTAACCAGAAGAAATAAGAATGGGCTTAGAGGGCATCCTTGCCTGATACCTCGATTGATATTAAACCTTCTCGTTGTCCCATGTGCCAGCTTGACCGAGCTGTTACAGCCCTGGTACAGGGTATTAATAGCTTTGGAAAAAAAATCTCCAAATCCAAAATGTTTAATAGACTTGAACATAAATTTATGACTTATGGTATCAAACGCTTTGTAGAAGTCGATAAACAGAATAAAGCTTTCATCAGGAATAAAATCATTGTAGTCAATCATGTCCAATATTAGACGAATATTGTTGCTAATGTTTCTTCCAGGCATAAATCCAGATTGTTCTTCACTAATAATATCATTTAAACCTAATTTCAGTCGCTTGGCAAAGATAACTGCGTATATTTTAGCGTCATTGTTTAAAAGACTAATTGGTCTCCAGTTTTCAATACTCAAATGATCTTTTTTGGGTTTAGGGATGAGCTTAATCAATCCCTGCTGGAGAGTTGGGGCTAATTCACCTCTCAGTATTGACTCTTCAAACATATTTTTTAAAAAAGGGGCCAGTTCTCCTGCAAACTGTTTATAGAATTCACTACTTATGCCATCGTTGCCAGGGGATTTATTATCCTTAAGAGAGCATATAGAGTCCTGAACTTCCTTTAGATTAATTTCTTTATCACAATCTCTTTTAAAGTCATCATCAATCTTGATGGTATCCATTTCATGTTCTCTTAGAAATGCGTCCATTCTTCCTTCATCTTCTAAATTTTCTGAGTATAAGTTTTGATAAAAGTTTGAAACATAGTTTGAAATAACTTGCTCATTATCACAAATCATATTGTTAATTTTAAGCTTTCCAATAAATGATTGTTCAAAGTTTCTCTTCTCCAGGTTGAAAAAATATTTGGAGCACTTTTCTCCTTGTTCTAACCATTTTTTTCTGGACCTCACAAAAGCTCCTCTGGCTTTGTCCTCATAGAGCTGATCCAGTTCTAGTTGTAGTGTTGAAAGTTCTTTGGAGTCCTCTTCAGATACATCTGTTTTTTTTGATATTCTTAAAATTGCATCTATTATTTGGGATTCTTTTTCTTTTTTCTTTTGGGCAAGTTTTTTGCCTATTCTAATTGCCATTTTTCTAATTTCAAATTTAAATAGTTCCCAGTTTTTACAAAAGTATTTTGTTAAATTTGCTTGAGTCCAATATTTATTAATAAGTTTAATTACTTCAGTTTTAAATTCTTCATTTTTTAATAAGGAGTTATTTAATTTCCAGTAGTCTTTATTGTGACCATGTCTGTCAGTGTTTGCATCTATTTTAATTGTGATAGCTTTGTGATCTGTCAGTATTGTTGGTTCAATAGAGGCATCGGTCACGTTGTCTTCTAAATCTGAGGAAATAAGCCAAAAATCTATGCGTGACTGTTGAGTTCTGTCTTTGTTGTTCCATGTGTAGGAAGTTTTATCCAAATTTTTAGATCTCCAAATATCAATAAGTCCTAATCTATCACAGATATGATGTAATTCAGTTGTTGTTTGATTCTTTGAGGGCAATCTGTCCAGATTATCATTCATCACATTGTTAAAATCTCCTCCCCATATAATTTTAGCAGTAGGAAATGAGAGTAATGTTTGTTCAATTTTGGCTTCTAAGGTCAAAAATAACTGCTTGTTGTCTTGTTTGTTATTGTAACCATATATGTTGATGATTAAAAAAAGTGACTGATTAGTTTCAGTTAAAAGCGTAATCCAACGGCCTTCAGTATCCGTTTCAAATTTTAAAATTTTCCCTTTAAATTTTCCTTGCAGGATAGCAACACCTGCTGATTTATTACTACCAAAAGAAAACCATATTTGTCGACCCCACTGACTCCTCCAAAACGTTACATCATCTTCTGAAGCATGGGTCTCCTGTAACAAATAAAAATCAGCACTTTTGTTAAGGCAGTATAGAAATAAAGCTTTCCTTTTAAGTTGGTTCCTAATACCCCTGGCATTTACAGAAAAAACAGAAATAGACATAAACAAACACAAACAAACAATAACACCCTGAACAACAGCAGACCTGTAACTCAGCTGTTTAAGCTAACAAGTATCTGCTTATTAATTGCATTATCTGCACTAAGATAGAATGATTGTCACCTTCTCCATCTCAGGTTAGAGTGGAGGTCTTAACTCACCAAAGGTAGTATTGAAATATATTTTTCCCTTCTCATATCTTAATTTCTTTCCCTTCAATATAAGCTCGAGTTCCAACAAAATATGCTTTGCGACCCGCTTTCCTGGCTTCCTCCACCGCGGGCCACAGCTTGCCTCGGATTTCTTTTTCTGCAGCGGTCAGATCTTCTTTAAAGCTTAGCTTTTTGTTTTGGAGGTAGCTGCTGTTCTTGGATCCTTTCCATAGCACGTCTCTGGCCGTCCTGGTCTGGAATCTGATGAACACCGGTCGTGGAAGAGGTTTGGTTGTCCCATCTCGTTGTCGAAGACCGCCGATGCGATGTACGACGTCCATTGCTGAAAGCACTGACCCCACTTCACTATCTGGTAGAATTGCTTGACATATATCTTGGACAGTTTTTTTAGTGTTGTTGTCTTTATTGTCTTCAGGAACACCATACAGTCTGAGGTTAAGCTGTCGGCTGTGTCGATCTGCGTTATTGAGTTTGAGTTCCAGGTCGGAAACTTTCTGATCCAGGACTTTACATTTCTCCTGCAGCGTGTTATTTTGTTTCTTCAGATCTGCTATTTCTTGGAAGCAGAATTCCAATGACTTTTTTAATTCCTCAATTTGGGTACTGTTATGCTGGACTGCCTTGTCCGTCTGATCTGCCCTCTCATTAATCTTCTCAATTATGGTGTTCTGTAGCTCCGATAGCGTCGGCTCCACGTGTTGCGTTGGCAGCTCACCTTTAGCTTTCTTCACCTTCTGCTTAGCTGGCGGGTCGGGTGTCAGGCTGCAAGCGTAAGAGTGGAGTTCTCTAGCAGTTCTTTTTTCTTTTGGTGTCTCAGACTCCATAACTTCGAGCTGAGCCAAGGTAGTATTCTTCGACTTAGCCATTGTACACGTTAGCTTTTGTGCTACGTAACTTTCAGCTAAGCTAGTCTGTCGGGAGTAGGATAACTCTTTTTTGTTGCTTATTTGAAGAGCGAGAGTTTAAATCTTCAGCTGGGGAGATTACTCACGGTCTTCTTTGTTGTCCCCGTGATTGTTGGTGACAATTAACGTCTTTCTTGAATTAGTTGTGCAGATAGATGCGGCTCTCACATTAATGCATATCCGTTCTCGTCGCCATCTCGTCTCTTTTCCTGAAGAGCGGTAGTTGTGGGTTAATTTATGTTGATCGTCGTGACGCGTTCCGTTCGTGATGCGTTCAAGGTACCTTTTGAACGTCAGAATTTTGCAACGTAATGTTGTCTAGATCAGACAAATGCAGTATAATATACATCTGTGGTCTGGATAACTTCATACGTACTTCCGTTTATCTAAAATTTAACATTTATTTTATTTGTCGTATGTGTTGCTTCGTTAAAACAAACAAAAAAACAAGTTTCATGCTTCATCTTTGCGTTTACTTTTCAACGCAAATTGAGGGTATTTCACACGTAACAAAAACACGAATTTATAAATACATTTGTACACTAAAAAGTCGATACTGGTTCAAAACTCATCTTGAACGTTAAACTTGAATACTGAAAATATCCATGAACCTTTTTAAAGCGTTGGTGCTAACGCATGCGCATTAGGACGGTTATGTTTAATTTCGACACTTAAACGCAACCCATGTTTTTGGGACAAGTGTGTTTTGAAGATGGGCTATTTTGCTCACCATTGAATTTGATATCACAGAGAATTTATTTTAAATTGGACAATGCTTTTAAAAGCTCCCAAATTCTCAAACGAAGTGCAGCACAGTGGTTCAGAATCAGCACATATATAATTCCTTATATAAAAGTTCATGCTCAATAATCCAGGTAAAAAATAAAAAAAAATCCAACAAAAGCTCGTTCAGGTCATCTGACTGATGACAGACCCCAGAAACTATCTCATCACTAGCAAACTGGTTAGTTCACTATGCGAGTGTGCTGATTGTGGGACTGAGTTTATTGTGACTCCTTGGACTGATGAAGTCCTTTGGATGAAGGACAAAACGTCTCACCAAAAAAAGAAACCGTCCAGATGACCTGACTGAACTTTGTTGGATTATTCCTTATCGCTTAAGAACTGTTACTGTACCAAAGACAGTAGAAAATATGTTAATTTAGACATTTAAAACAAAAATTGCATCATAAACTATAAAACTGCATAGTTGAGGGAGTGATGGGTAAGGGGTAAAATAAAAAAAAGTTGTCAATTATCTTGTGCAAAATTAAATATTGATTTAAATGTGTGAGGAAATGTAGACACGTTTAATTTTAGAATGTTATTTTTGACATTTGTTTTGCCTTTTGAAAAGGTGTGTAATTTGTCATAAAACACTTAAATTAGTGCTTATGGAAGCAACTGCTGAGCTGACTTTTGTCTTAATTGTTGTCACCACATGACTTTCACGGAACAAACAAACATTCAGTTTGTTCATACTTCCTAAGTCAGTCACACACAGTCGTCTGCAGCCATAGATAAGAGCAACACCCTGACTGGAAAGTCCCTGTACTTTTTGTGTTATATCACATGGTGCTTTACAAGCATAAGTTACAACCAAAAGAAAAGTACATTTGGAAAAAGGCATAAAATGTTTATTTACAATAAAAACAAATTTAAAAAAAGTCCATGACCAGCCATGTACATTTGACTCATGCAGATGGCAAGAAAGAGGAGAAAAAATAAAGGCTTACTCAAGTCAGCACTGATCAAAGCCTTTGACTCTCAGTTAAACCCTTTAATTCTGAAGAAACAAGATTTTACATGTAATAATTTCTGGTACCGCCCCTAATAGGATTATAATGCAGAATACATGTTTAGAACTACAGACTTTATTAGAGTCACATTACGTCACAAGCGATCACTCCTCTCTCTAGACTACATATCCTGGAGTACCAAAGCTCACAGATCGTTCAGTCTTCCTGCCAACAAGCCTCTTTCCTGATCTAGTCAGAGACCCCAACTTTGCAGGAGGCTTCAATCCTGGTGAAACGTCTTGTTTTGGTGACAAAGCTGCCCGCCGTGCTTCCTGGAGCTCTCTGCAAAAAAAGGATAAAAAAAGAAAAATGGGGCAATATATTCCAACTGAGTCATGCAAACTGAAACAAGCCCTGTTGCAACCGCTTTGCTTTTAATCATAAAACTGCTCCACCTCCTGGTCACATTTATGAATCAGTGCATGTAAACATTGGCACAAATATGTTGCCTCTCCCTTAATCTCAGGCTGGAAATCCCAGATTTTTCTCCCCATGTTTTAAATACCTTTCACATTGGTTACAGGAAAAAGAAGAGAGGCAGTTTATACAACACAAATTTACCAATATAGAAAATCTACTTCTAAAATAACCTCTTTTTTTTTTTAAATGTGCAAGATTTATTCTTTCAATAGCTTTGGTTTTCTTAAACCTAAAAAAAAAAAAAAAAAATGCACAACAGAATTCACAACATCTTCAAGATTTACTTTAAAAAAGGCACTAATCCCGAGCCTGGTTCTGCTGGAGGTTTCTTCCTGTTAAAAGGGAGTTTTTCCTTCCCACTGTTGCCTTTGTGCTCACTCAGGATGGGAGACTGCAACAAAGTGAAGATTCAACGCAATCTGTTGGTGTCCTTACATAAATTTTTACTAATTGGCTTTTGTAAAATATGTGAACGTTTTTGTTCAGTACCCTGAGACGACTTCTATTGCGACTTGGCACTAAATAAATAAATTGAATTAATCCCAAAGAGACGTGAAAGTAACACTTGAAAAATCCCCTTAAAATAAAATACCCAACTGGACTTCTTTTAGGTGATGTTCCACTTTCCATCTGGGGAGTTTTCTCAATTCAAAACTAGAGTGTAGAGTTCAAAAGGCTAATTTCCACTTCATCAGACGTGCCAAAACCGTCTCTCTGGTGTGGTTGCATCTTTTTTCCTCTTTGCATCAGAAGTTACTGATCTGTGTGGGTTTCCCCGAGTAAAAAATGTATGTTGTATGTATGCATGCATGCATGCATGTTTGTTTAAGAAAGTTTTCTTGACCTTGTAGTTTCAATGGGTTTTCTTGGTTTAGTGCTTTCCTGATTATGTTCCATATCAGCATTATTGGTGTTAAAGTAATTTAAAGCATTTCATAATAGTTGCAAATCATGTACAGTATGTCTGAGGGGGGAAAAAAAAAAGTAAAATATTGCAAAATATTATTGCATAGGTTCTAACCATCAAGAACCCCACTCCTTACTTTTCAAGCATGGCTGTCCTGAACTTCTCAACATTGAGCTCTCTGCGAAGCTGAGCAGCCAGCCTCTCAGTCCTCTTCTCCCTCAAGATCGTGTGCTTGCAAAGCTCCCTGGCAGATGGGCGCTTTGTTGGGTCTGAATCCAGCAACGACTGACGTAAAAGAAAAAAAAAAAAAAAAAAAAAAAAAAAAAGAAATCTTGACATGCCAGTAACATCAAACAAAATGTGCCACTTACACAGATGGGACTTCTAATCTCTAATCATTATGAATTAAACCTCAATCCAAAGTAGGACTAGTTTTACCTGAAGCAAACTTCTGAAGGGAGGCGAGAGCTCTTGGGGCAGTTTGGGCAGATGCCCCTTTCTAAGACTGTGCCATTCATCTCCATTTTGAGGCAAAGGAGGAGCTCCAGCTGCCAGCAAAACTGTGAGGCCCAGAGCAAATATGTCAGCCTTGGGCAGGTGGTGGTAATCCTGCAGAGCAGAACATAACAAGTTAGATATTATTGCTAGAAACCATGCAAACAATATGCCTTTTAACAACTATGGTATAGTTTTTGGGATACGTCTTCATAGCCCTACATTTAAAATGTTACCAGGACCACTTTCTTCCACCTGCACCATCTTAATAAATTAAGGAACATTCCTTTTCAAAGTAATGTAAAAAGGATGGCCATGCATTTATCACTTCTACACTGGACTAATTCTTTATTATCTGGGCATCTTAATAAAATAAAATAAGTTCTAAAAAACAAACAAACAAAAAAAAAAACTTCAGTTGATCCAAAACGCTGCTGTCAAGAGGTCTTCAACTACCTTCTAACTTTTAGCTTTCAACAACTCAGCTCAATCTCATTAAGGATCTTATTGTTCTATACTCTCCCTAACAGAGCACATTCAGACTGCTGGTTTACTTGTGGTTCCTTGAGTTCCTAAAGTGGGAAGCCGAGCTTTTAGTTATCCAGCTACTTCCTTGTAAACCCCACTTCCATTCTGACACAATGTCTACTTTGAAAACTATCAGTAAGCTACAAAGCTTTTTGATCTATCCTATAATTAGGGTTGGCTTGGGCTTCTTGAGTTATCCTCAAGTTTTACTGCTATAGGCTTAGACTAATGGACAAACTGACCACATTTCCTCACTTTACGGTCGTAACTTTCTACTCTCCATGTTTGTACATGCAATTGTTGCAGCTATTAACCGATTTTTTTTTGTTCATTTTGTTTTTCCTTCCCATATAAAGTACACCTGGATCAATATCTATGGCGTTTCGTTTTCCTGCCCTCTCAAACTCCAGCAGTTTGAGGCAAACGATCACCCATCCTGTGCTTGGGATTGCTAGAGGTTTCTTCCTGCTAAAAAGTGAGATCGTCCTTTCTATTTTAACAAACGTGCTGGTTAGACAGGAGCTTGTGACAAAAAGATTTAACACAATTTGTCCCTTTCCTCTTCAATTTCATACTGAACTGTATTAGAATAGGAATTAATTAGTCCTTAATAAGATTCAAATCTGGATCTGATTTGAATGCTTGCGAGAATCTCTGTTGTGAATTTGTGCTATACTTATAAATAAAACTAAACTGGTCTATAGCGAGGCATACGAAACATCTTTACCTCATGAAGGACTTCATTAGCCAGAAAGCGACTGTCCCCCTCTTCCACTTGAGGACTAGTAATTAAAGTCACATGACCCAAATCACCTGCAGGGGCAAAATCTGAGCTTTTAAAGGGGAATAGACACTGAAAAAGGCAGAAATTCAAGCACACCATTACAGTAAATACCAATTTTGTAAAGAACTCCAGCCAAAGTGCCTTCATCATCTTCCTCCTCACTGTCCCCCTCATCCGCTGCACTTGTGCTGGGCTGCTGGCAAATAAAAATGTTGCCTAAAAACAGTTGGAAAACACATTTGTTGACTTGCGTGTAAACTGAACAGAGAGCCCATGTAAAGAAATAAAATGCAATTTTAAAAAGTAGACATATACTTGGTTTAATGTCCAGGTGGACGAGGCCTGAGCTGTGGATGTATTTCAGACCCATGGCCACTTGTAGAAGCAGATCTTTCAGTTCTGCTTCAGTAAACTGTTCACCTTGCGCCTCCTTCTTCGCAATCACATCACCGAGACTTCCACCTAAGCATTACAAAAAAACACAAAGCTCTGCATTATACCTCCGGAGTATTCAAATCTAACCATTTTTCCATGTTCTTGTGAAATCCACCATCACAGTATTCATTCTGAATAATCATGTGGTCATCCTCTGCCCATGCTGAATAATAGCGAACGACGTGTGGGTGATGGCCAAGAACAGCATGTGCATACACTTCCTTTAGAGCCAGCTGCCTGAGAAGAAACACCGTCATAAATAAATCGGAACAAAATCAAAGCGTGGACTAATCAGTCTCCTGCTGACATCATCATATTGCTGACTCACTCATTGGCAGAGCCTGCCAAGGGTCGTCGGGAGCGTTTTATGGCGTACAGGCAACCATCCAGCCGATTCACGCACTTATAGACAGTACCAAACTCGCCCACGCCGATGCACTCCACCTCCAGGAACTCACTCTCGTAGCGTGACAGCATGAAGGCTTGGACGGCTCGTCTCTGCCAGATGAACAGAAGGCGAGCGCAACGGTAAAAACTAAAAATACTTCCCAAGAAGGAGCAAACACGTCACAGGACTACATCAAAGAGAACCGGAATCTCCATGATGCCTGACCAAATATAGTGATGATAATAAAAACAATAAATAAATCTTGCAAACACTGACAGCAGCTTCTTTTTTTTGTTTAAGCTGGAGATTCCTAAGAGAAATCCCGGAAGCTGAAGTGGCAGTATGTAATTTTGAACAAAACAAGAGGAGGCGTGCAGCTGAGGATGACAAAGCCTGATGATAAAATCTGAGCAGAAGTGTTTGATAAAAGAGGATTATATTCATTATTAGCACTGGCAGAAGTGGTTGTACCTTTGGTGGGAGGAAAGCTTCATCATCCTCTTCAGATGACGTGAGGCTGTGTTTCAGTCTGAAAGAAAAAAAAAAGGCATGTAGGCTGTTTAATACTCTAAACAAAAAACAGCAAAAACCTAATCTAAAGACGAAACAATCAAAAATTAGAAATATTTGGACCTTGTTGAATACTTGCCTTTGTAAATTCAAATCTAAATACAACCAGCGACCAACTTTAAAATTATCCAAGATGCTCTAATTTTTACCAAAAGACTTAAACAGTTAGCAAAAATGCTGCAAAGTTGCCAGATTTCCTTTCAGATACGTATACATTTATATAACAAAATAATTACCGTACCTGCGTCTATAATCTTCATCATCATCGCTCCTGCTGCTTTGCCTCCAGAGCAGCTCACTTTTTCTGCGTACCGTGTCAGGAGTGAAAGGATTCACGTTGACTGAAGGAACCTGCAGAAGATTTGCAGCAGCCGAGGCTAAACGCACGGTCCTCTGACGATGACTTAACTTTATGTTGGAGAAAAGCTGAGACGACTTTGATAACAAACTCTACAAAACAAGACAATGATCCAAATGAATCAGAAAAGCATTTTTTTTTCCTTCTCCCCATTCATTCAACCTTTATTTATACAGATTAGTCTCATTGAGCCGTGAGGACTCATTTACAAGAGAGACATGTTTTAGACAAACAACATACAAAAGTACAATAAAAGTGCAACTGAAATAAAAGTAGTGTATAAAACAATAAATCAAGGTGCCGTAAAATAAGGTAAAATACTAAAAACAAGAACTTTTTTTTTTAAATGTTTCTATTGACGTTATCAAATGTTTGAACCCTTAACTAAATTAAGGTGGACAACTTCAGTTCCTGTTGCAAGATGTTCCAGGTTACAGGAGCAGAGTAAGAAAAGGCCTTTGTGCCAAGTTCAGTCTGCACTGAGGGAACGCTGCGGGTAATGTCAATTTATTTGTAAAGCACATAAAGACAACAAAAGCTGACCAAAGCGCTTTCCATTTCAGTCAAATTAAAATTAAGGTAATAAATTCAGCAAATATGAGAAGGATGTGATTGCCTTTGGCTCTTCTGGCTAGGAGGCAAGACACTGAACCCCTCGTTGCCTCCGATGTGTGTCCCATCAGTGTATGAATGTGATAAAGCTCTGATTAGTCTCTTTAGAATGATTTGTCCAATTAGCTTTGTAGCGATCTAGTGGAACGCTGTATGAATGGGTAAATGAGGACACAGATTGAAGTGTAAAGCGCTTTGAGTATCTTGAAATAAGAAAGGTGCTATACAAGTACAGTCCATTCACCATTTAATATTGTGTAATTGGAAGGACCCCCCCCCCCCCAAATCGTATGTACATTGGTTAAAAGGTGATGTGTCATTCATGTGGAGAAGGTGAGATACACCTCAAAAGGGCTCTGTGCAGAGGTTCTGGGACACTTGGAGGCCATTTATATCGTTTGTTGAGAGCATGTCGGTGCCTGTACAATTGGTTTGTGTAGTTTTGACTGATCCGGTGTGGGAGCGAAGGGGTGTGGTGGTGGGAGGGGATTGTTTAAAGTTTTATGTTGTTCTGTGTTCAAAAATGAAAAAAAAAAAAAAAAAAAAAAACTAAAGAAGTACTTATGTCCAATATATTTTTTAAAGTAATAGAAACAAAAAACAAATGCATCTTGTGCCACTCAGGAAGAACAAGAAGGTTGAAATACAACAACAACAACAACAACAACAACAACAACAACAACAACAACAACAACAACAACAATCAGGTATAACTATACAACTATAAGGTAATGATGGCCTGAGAGCGCATGTTGTAACTGCACTGATGATGTGACACGTGGGAGGAGATATAAGAAGGCAGCAGACCAAGGAGTGATTTATATAGATGAAAATGAACCAGTGTGAGAGCCATGTAGATAATGATGACCAGATGACCAATGAGTACAGGGTGCAGTGATGGGTACGGTAGATACAACCAGTTATGAATCTTATTAGCGCACTATGGTAGATAGCATCCAACATATGCAAGCAGCTGGCAGGAGCATTCATGTAAATAACATCACTATAATCAATGGCTGGTAGGAAGGTAGCGGTTACAAGGCATGCTCTGGCATTCAGAGTTAAACGAGATCCATTTCTGAAATAGAAACCCAGTTTTAATTTCAGTTTCTTTATCAAATTTTTGATATGTGGTTTAAAAGAGAGATGTGCATCGACCAAAACTCCCAAGTATTTGTAAGAACCTACAAACTCCATGGAACACCATGCATGGATGAGATAGAGGAAGAACTGTTGGTGCCAACTTTCCGTTTGAAAACAACATCCCGTTGGTTTTATCAGCATTTAGCACCAGTTTGAGATGAAACAAGTCTGACTGAATGATGTCGACTTCAGACTGTAGAAGCTGGAAAACCTTGGCAACTGCGTTAGCACGACAATAAACAACAGTCTCGTCGGTATAGAAATGTAACGATGCATCAAGAATGTTTTGATCTACGTTATTCATATAAATTGTTAAAAGAACAATCATAGTTAATCACCTTGGGTGTGCTGGGCGAGTCGCACAGCCTCAGCTTCTTCCAGGAGGCATAAGGTATGGGGCTGGTGCACAGCAAAGGTGAAGTCAACGTGTTGCTCTGGCTGCGGTGGCGCTGCACTTTGGGGGTCCTGCAGGCCAGGTTGGGACTGCAGATGACGGCACACTCATCTGAAGTGGTGTCACTGCTGTTTCCCTCCTCTCCACAGCTGGAAAAATCCAGCTGCTTGTTGATCCCATCAAACACGGTCTCCATGCCTGCTGTGGCCTGAACTTTGGGGTAGGCTTCCTTCATAACGTTAGGACCTGACCGCACAAACACTCGGATTATGTGCTCATGAAATCTCCGTTTGTTGGCATTTGTGAAGACTGTAAACATATAAGGTCTGCAGGGTAATTTGTGATACTCCCAACTTCTTAGGTACAAGATGGACGTTTTAAACATAATTATATTAAAGAAATAAAAAGCCTAGAATTACTTGAAAGAATGACATCCAGCTACTTCCACACCAAAATTAAGTTCAATATATGTAAAATAGTAATTTTTGTGTTGGCTACTATAAATTAGCAGTGATGCCATCTTGAATTGGATCAACTCCAAATGGTAAAAAGTTGTAGCTCTACAACCAACAGTTACTTTCTGAGAATTTCATTAAAATCCATTTAGCGGTTCACAAGATATTTTGCTGATGGTCAATTTTGTGCCAGTTAATGTCAACATTTTAATCAAAAATACAGTAACGTGCAGTGCTTGAAGTATGTGCTGGAGACAGCGCTCAGCTACCACACCAACTTTTAACCCAACGTTGGTAAACTTGAATATATGTCTTTTTGCGTTTTCTAAAGTTACTCAACTGGGCGGCCATCTTGAATTAGAGTGACTTTAAAAGTTTGTCAGCTGTAGATGTACACCCAAAGATTATTTTTTTTAGCGTTTTATTAAAATCCGTCCACTGGTTCAGGAGATATTTTGCTAAAACTACAAACACACACATACAGGTGCATATAAAAAAATGTGAATAAATATTGTGGGAAAAAAAAATTGTCAGTCATTTCAGAAAGTGAAACTCAAAGAATCATTATACGCAGAGTGAAGTATTTCATGTCTTCAGTTATTCTCATTTTGATGAGTACGGCTTACAGGTAATGAAAAAACTAATTTCAGTCTCTCAGAAAATTAGAGTTTTGTAAAGAGGTTCAGTATTATAAACTCCTGGTGTCACACCCTGATCAGATGATTAACTCTTAGACATGAGATACAAATGTCTCATTCCTCAAGTCAAGACACTCCTGTCCTGAACCAGAAATGTCAGAAGCGTCTTATCTGGTGAGGAGACAAAACACGTTGCTCAGTGGTCCAATGTCCTCGTTTCAAATGAAAGTTAATGTTCATGTCATTTGTAAATCAAGGTCCCAGAGTCTGGAGGAAGAGTGGCGAGGACCAGAGTCCAAGTTGCTTGAAGTCCAGAGTGAAGTGTCCACAGTCAGTGATGGTTTGGGTCCATATCCTCTGCTGGTGTTGGTCCACTGTGTTCTCTGACTCAGTCCACGCAGCATCCACCAGAACATTTTAGAGACTTCATGCTTCCTTCTGCTCACCAGCTTTATGGAGATGCTGATTTCATTTTCCAGCAGGACTTGGCTCCTGCCCACACTGACAAAGGCACCAAAAAAACTGGTTGTGGAATATTCTCATTTTCTGAAACTATGAATTTTGATTTATTTATTTTTTTAATCTGTAAGCCATAGTCATGAAAATGACAAGAAAAAAAAAAGGCTTGAAATAGTCCATTCTCTGTGTAATGTTCACTTTCTGAAATGACAAAATAAATTTAAACTTGTTCCACAACATTTACATTTTTTTAGATGCACCTGTACACAGGTAATAACATTATCGCCTATCTCGGCGGGTGATAAAATGTCATGTTTACTCACGAACAAGTCGCCTGTGAGCAGCACCACCTCAAACACGCTTCCATTTCGCGCCACGTAAGAAAAGACTTCCTGCTTAAATCAATTACGCCGCCGGGGTCAGGGCATCCTGCTTTCTGATTGGTTGGCTGCTTCTTTGAAGAAGCTGCTAATTAGTAAACACTTAAAAAGCGTTAAAAAAATATGACTCTCGGAGGGGAAAGACAAGAAACTGCTTATATTTTGGAAATAAAATCAAAACAATCGCATTAAAGTTGCTTTAAAAGTCATTTACTTACAATATTATAAGATTTGTGTTTTTATAACAGAAATTAGGTCATTGTATGAGATGATGTAGACACGTGGGCGGAAGTGAGCTACGTCATCACAACAGAAAGACAAGAGGAGGAAAAGCAGCCCGTCCGTGGATGTGACACGCTTACAGATCCGTGGAAAACACCCCTGCCAGCAGCAGGAAACCATGATCCGGTTCCAGCGGCGTCTTTAACCCGCTCCAAACGAACCGTGCGCGGGGAGCTTACCTTGTTCACCTGTCCGTCCGTACGTCCTGCAGCGCCATGGTGGAGCAGTCGGATCGAGCCCCGCTGCTGGACTGGGAGGAGATCCCACCGCCCGACCCGAATCAGGCGGCCCAGCCACCGCCACCGGAGGAGCAAGGCAGCACCGAGGCGGAGAAAAGTTCTCAGCCGGCCGGGAGGCATCATTTACCGCCAGCCACGGCCGTCTCCACCGCCGTCACCTACAGCCCGACGCGGAACGTAACAGCTGTCGTTGTGAGCCGGGACAGAAGCCTCCAGCCGGCACGAGTCTCCGGGTTCGGGGTTGACCGGAACCTGCCGTTCCCCTGCGTCCCACCGAGGGATCAGTGGGAGGAAAAGGACCAGATAGTGGCTGTGTTTGTGGTTACGTTCGATACGAGGTCAGGTAAGAAAACTGGATTTGTTTTCCTTCGCGTGCACTGAAAATGATCGTGTCTTATGATCTACGTTTTACAAGTTCTCTGACGGAACCTAAAGTGTTTTAATAAACCGGATTGTGTCAGATACCACTGCATTAAAAGGCATGTCTTGTGTTATGTATAGGAGTGCCCCAGGGTTCTGTGTCGGGGTCCTGTTCTTTTGGACAGATTAAAAGCAATTCAAGGGTTTTCATTTAGTTTTAATCTTTGTTCTGACATTGCTTACATATTTGCACTGTTTTATTGCATTTTAAACACTATGGTTTATTTTGTGGAAGGTGTAAACCTTACCTATTACTGTAAATGTGCACTTTTTAAATGCCATAGTGTGTATGGAGCTTAGGAACTTCAGGAAGTTCATGCACAAAATTGGCTTGTTCAAGAAATGAATGTGTCCATCCATCTTTTATCCACTTCCTCCTTTTTGGGTCGTGGGGGTCACTGGTGCCCATGACCTGTTATCACGGTGCGAGAGGCAGGGGACACCCTGGACAGGTCTCCAGTCCATCACAGGGACACACAGAGACAAACAAGCATTCACTCTCTCACTCAAATCTAGGGAAATGAATGCATCATATTTAAAATTCTTCAAAATGTTGAACTTTTTTTATGTATCAGGAAGAAGAAGTATAAAACCAGTAGTTAAACATGACACTCATCTGTTCCTGGGGTTAATATTTAATTACAGATGTGTTGGGCCTTTTGCAGCTGTATCAGATTTGAGGAAGTAGCTAGGATGAAAGTAGTGGAAAACTGGGAAGTAACTTCATTTTTTAACTGTGTGTGTGTCACAGGAAATATGATAGAGTGGTGTCTGCCTCATGACATCAACCTTGATGGAGTTGAATTCAAGTCAATGGCCAGCGGCTCCCATCGGATCACCAGTGACTTTATGTAAGTAGTGCTCTGACTTAAATTATCTTTTACCTGCCGCCAAAGGCCACAGCTAAACAACCTTATTCAACCCCCAAACATCTATAAACTGAACCAGTTTTACAGATATTTGGCTAAGATTTGATGTGGTAGCATCTAGGTGTCATTTATCGCACATGAGCGCTGACACATCTCACGAGATCTCAATATTGACCAATGATTTGACCAAAACTCTGCCCATTCTCAACAAAAGATGATCTTAGATTAAAACTTGTGCATGAAAGGCGGCAGGAGGTATGCTTTCCTTCAGGAATGTCAGACCTTTAACTTTTGTTGCTTTGCCTCTGGTTAGATATTTCCGTAAAGACAATTACTTCGGGCTGGCCTGTTTTGCCAACATGCCTGTTGAGAGCGAGCTGGAGCGAGGAGCGAGGATGAAGTCTGTGGGAATTCTGTCTCCTTCCTACACTTTGCTTTACCGCTACATGCACTTCCTGGAGAATCAAGTCAGGTAAGTCTGCTGGGGGAGTGTGTGTTCTTATTGTTGTTTCTGAATCCTTTATTTTATTCTTTATTTTTACACCAGCCTGTTTGCATTCTCTATTCTCACCCAACTTTCTTCACAGGTTTTTTTTTTTTTTATGCGCCAACCTCCTATCCATGTTTTTTGTTTCAGATGTTCTCATCAATTAAACATGAACCCTGATTCCCAGTTAGTTGCAGTTTTTGTCACAAGAACCCATTGAAGTGCTGTTTTTCTATGGAGTCTGAACACAATAAGCTGGAAGAAACTTTGACAGCATCTTTTCTCTTCTTTTCTACAACACTGCTCCTCTTATTCAGTCCCTTTAAGAGAACTTGACTCTCACTGATTGTGAATGAATATAAAAAAGCCACAATTTTAAGATCACAAACAGGGATGAATCTGCCTAAAATTTAGTTTGAAGTTTGAGTTCATAATGAGGCTTCAGATAGAAATGGTAAAATAAAATGAATTATGAATCACTTAGAAACTATGCAACAGACTCTCGGACTGATGAAAGGACAGGTCTACTGAGCACAAGCCAAGGGACCTCAAATTTTATCCTATTTCTCAGAAAAGCACGTAAAACAACCTAAGTGAAATGCAAAATAAATTGAAATGAAGAGATGTAAAATGATTCATAGACAAATTTACAATAAAATCAAATAAAAACAACAAAAAATGTCATTATTGGAATGGGACATCACATTTCCCAAAGGAGAAACATAAAAAGCTGCAAGGAGGACGAGATAAATGTACATGTTGTGTGAAACATGGTTCACACTAAATGTCAAATATACAGTGGCCCTGAGGTTTAAATGAACAATGTTTGAAAAAACACAATTACATTAAGCCAAGCTGGAAGTGGTGAAAAAAACAGAATTACAAATTTTAGTATAATTTTTTTTTTTTAATTTACTTTTCTTTTTTAAATGTTTTGCTACTTCTCTGTTTCTTAAATTTAAATTTGATCTATATAATATGTCAAATTGTTTGAGCAAATGTTGACCTTAGGAGGTATGACAGAGGATTCTTCACATTTATATGTATAATTTTGTAATTTGAGGTTATTATTTGTTCTTTTGTTCTTGTGTTCTATAAATAAAGTTAAAAAACGAAGTTTTTTTCACCACTTCCAGTTTGGCTTAATGTAATTGCGTTTTTTTTAAATGTTGTTCGTTTAAACCTCGGGGCCGCCATACAAATTACTATAATTTGAGACATTATAAGCCAAATATAAGACAACAAGAACTCTGTACAGGGATTTTAAATAAGCCACAAAAGTCACAGACTGATACAAATAATTCAAGGACTCAACACAACAATTATTAGGCCATAGATCCTAATCAATTTTACATTTTTATCTAATTATCCGAGAGTAAAATGATTTGAAACGTGTTTCGAAAACAAGCAATCACAGAAATGTAACAAAACCACAAATAGACCAACATAAAATGACACCAAATAGACCCAAAGTAAAGTTGCAACATATAATATAAATAAATTAAATTGAAAATGTGACCCAAAGCTCGTCTCCTCTCCCCTGCGGAATGACTGCATCACTATGTGCGGGGTGTTTTTTTCAATTTCAGGCTCTCTCTTTTTAGCCAAGGTGTGAGAGTCTGTTACGTTATTTTTCCCCTCCAAACCCTATACATGTGTCACTTTCACTATTTTTTGTCTGTCTAAACAGGTCTCACTTGGAAATGAGTCCTCGAGGCTCCATGTGATTTATCTATATAAATAAAGGTTGAATGAACAAACAGTGATGTAAAACAACCAATAACAAATGTAAAACAAGTTAAATTGGATATCTGGAGCCAAGTGTTTTAGTCCCTCCATTCTCAGGATGTTTTTAACAACAAATAGAAATTAGATAAATCATTTCAGTTTGCAGATTTGGTGCCTTTGGTTTATTTGAGCTGTGAACAAAGTGATGATCTACAGAAAAAAGAACAGAGAGATGATGAATACGCATCAAGTTGAATAACAGGCACGCATCATTAAAGCAAGCTTAATCTGCTTTATCATTCAGAGACATGAATGAGGCGCACCTGATGATGCTGTTTTGATCTCCTCGTTGGTTTTTAGACATCAGCTGCAGAATCCAGGCCAGTATTCTCCTCTAGAGGCCTTTTATGAGGATAAGAAGGCTGTTCTCCCCCCAATGGGAAATGGTGTGGTCACGTCGTGCCCCATGTGGAGCGTTGCCTCCATAAACCGCTGCATGCATCCAGAAATGAAGGTCTGAACACGCCAGAACACACTGTCATGTCTCCGAAGCTGCTCCTCCGCGAGAGTCACTGAACCACCTTCTTTCCTGCAGATCACCCATCCAGCTGGCTGCATGTCTCAGTTCATCCAGTTTTTTGGGGAGCAGATAATGGTGCTGTGGAAGTTTGTGCTGCTTCGGAAACGCCTCCTGATCTTCTCTCCTCCACCTATAGGTGTGGTGTGCTACAGGGGTGAGCAGCTGGAGCTTGTACTTTCTCTCATTCCTGTTAGGGGTCATGATGTAGATTTGTCAGGTTTTGTAGCGCTTGATCTCCTCATAGTCTAAGATTTTATTGGACAATATTGAAATCTGCTTGTATAATCTGTTTTATTCATCTGTTTTATTTTCTTCTGTCCACTCAGTGTATTGCTGTTGCTGCCTGGCTAATGTTTCCATACCAGGAATCGGAGTGTCTGTACCTGAACTACGGCCTTTTTTCTACATCAACATAGCCGACATCAGCGCCCTGGAAACAGAGCTGTCGTACGTGGCCTGTAAGAGACTTCGCTCCTCTGTCAGTGGTTCACCGGCCGCTATTTTCTCAGCTGAAATGATTTACACCCATGTGTGTTCGCATTTGTTTCAAGGCACGACAGAGAAAATCTTTGAGGAAAAGAAGAGGCTGTACGACGTCTACATCGACAACCAGAACGTGAAGACTCACAGAAGCCACCTGCAGCAGCTGCTCAGACTGAACGCAGCAGATAAGGAGAAGTACAGGAAGCTGAGTGAACAGAGGTACTTTAACATTCATTCATTCATTCATTCATTCATTCATTCATTCATTCATTCATTCAACCTTTATTTATACAGGTTAATCCCATTGAGCCTCAGGGACTCATTTACAAGGGAGACCTGATTTTAACAAAGAGCGATGACAACAGTGGAACAACAAAGACAACAGTAGACAATCATAAAGAAAGCGTACAAATTGAGATTTTTTTTTAATCAAGTGAAAATAAAATGGTATTTAAAAGAAAATGTAAAAAAAACAAAAAACAGCTAGGTTGTAAGGCAGGGGTGTCAAACCCACTTACAAAAGGGGGCCAAATTTAAAACCTTTTTCAAACTAAGGGCCCGTTTCAGAATCTACATTAATTCAAGTTAGACACCCAACATCTTTTCTTGGTTGCATGTTCCTCAACAAGAGTTTGATTGGTCTCATATGATGTTTTCGGTTGCATTTTTGACATCATAATCAAATATTACTGAAAATAATTAAAGTGATAAATGTATTTTATATTTAAAATAACATCTTGGGGGCCAGATTAAAGCCACTTAAAGAGGTCGAGAGCTTCAGATCTTTTTGCAAGATCTACCATTAATCACCACATCCTGAATTTGTAAACTAATGATAATTTTAAAAATAAATAAATAAATACTAGTATGTATTCTTCAAAGATTCTGTAATACCTCAACTTGTTGCCCATTGGTGAAATGTTACCATTCCATTCGTCCATTATCTTGCGCTTGATCCGAAGTCTGTTTGCGGGGGCAGCAGCTTGAGTAGGGGGGCCCAGACATCTCTCTCCACAGCCACCTCTTCCAGCTCTTCTGGAGGGACACCAAGGTGTTCCCAGGCCAACCGAGAGACGTAGTCTCTCCAGCATGTCCTGGGTCTTCCCTGGGGTCTCCTCCCAGACTGACATGCCCAGGGAGCATCTTTACCAGATGCCCGTGTCACCTCAACTGGCTCCTCTCGATGTGTAGAAGCAGCGGTTCTACTCTGAGTCACTCCTGGATAACTGAACTTCTCACCCTATCTCTAAGGGAGAGACCAGCTACCCTGAGGAAACTCATTTCAACTGTCTGTATCCTCGATCTCTTTCTGTCAGTCACTACACAGAGTTTGTGACCATGGTTGAGGGTAGGAATGTAGACTGAGCGGTAAACATAGAGCTTTACAGCTCAGCTCCCTCTTCACCACAATGGACCAGTACAGAGTCCGCAATACTGCAGATGCTGCACCAATCCGTCTGTCAGTCTCACGCTCCATTCTTCCCTCACTCATGAACAAAACTCCAAGATACTTGAACTCCACTTGAGGCAGAACCTCACCCTCAACCCGTAGAGATCAATCCACTTTTTTCCAACTGATCATTTACCCATTTGTTGTTTTATATTATTGTGGGTGGTTTATTTAATTCATTTAAACATTGAAAATTCAGTTTTTTGTTTTTATTGTTGCTCAGTTTGAAACCATTCATAGTTTAGATAAAGGTTTAACGTTATAAAACATGTAAGTTTTGCGTTTCTGAGTAAGCTGCAAATTTAAGTTAGCCAATTAAAACGCAGAACAAGCACACAGATGTGTATTTTACAAGGGATATGAAATTTACTCCATCATAGATTTAATAATGTTGTTTTTTGTTAATTCAGGCAAATGCTGCTGTACTCTCAGGAGGTGGATGAAGACTGCACATCAAATGAAGAGGATCTTTTCATTCTGTGAGTCCCTGACAGGCGTTTTTGTTTCAGCTGAGTCATTCTCTAACAAAGCTGTGTGACCTGCTTGGTTTTATCTTCCCAAACTGTGATCTAGTTGTTTGAACATACACTGATGCTTTCATTTTCATTGCTCTAGGTTCTTCATGGAGCTGAATAATCGCATCTTTCAGACCCTGTCGGAGGTGGCGGGGAGCGCTGATCCCACCCTCACCGCTGATCATGTGAGGGCCATGGGGTTGGATCCCCAGGGTGACCGCTCCTTCCTGCTCGACCTGCTGGATGTGTACGGCATCGATGTTGCACTTGTCATAGACAACCTCTGCTGCTCCTGAGCCCACTGAACCTCTGGGACACGTGGACGCCAGTGGATTATTTGTACATGTGAGGCTTAAAAACACGAAGACACTGAAAGCACTGCCTCCATCGTAGAACCTTGTGTGTTCCACTGTTATCATGCCGGGTTTCTCCTTTGACCTGTGGAGACGGCTCACTGTGGGTGATGTGAACACTTAATATACACTGGGTCACAGCGGCTGATGGACACCTGGATATCAGGCCGTACTGCAGAGCTGCTGACGACAGCTGCTGCGTTTTGACGTTTTTCTGTTTGACTGTTATTCTGGTTCAACACTGACAGCTCTGCAGCTTGGGTGAAGGACGGAGTTATATCTGAAAAAATTCAACCACTGGGATTTATGTGGTATTCAAATACTCTCTCTCAGAAATTAAACACTTTTCTTTTGAGTACTGTGACCTTGTACTTAGACGTTTCCCCTTTTTTTTGTTGTTAGATCTACTTTTAGAAATTTCTTAATAATTGCAGAAAGTTTCATTTTTTTCATGCGTAAATTAAAGATTTACTTCTTATTCCTTAAAGGAATGCATCTGACCCGCTGCCTGTCGTGTCAACGTTTTAACGATGCGCGCGATCTCATGCAATGTCTCAAGATGTGGCGCTTCAAGCACGTGTTGTGGACGACTCTCAGCTACCACCACCACATTGTAGCTCATTATCGTCAAAAGTGACTTTAAAGTGTCACCATTGTAGTTTTTCTCTAAGTTTAGATTGATGTGATCATTCGAGCCAATCCCAGAAGATAACTGGCTGTGCATATTCAACGACTACGCTGCAAGTTTTATTAGAATTTAAGTAGCGGTTTATGAGATATGTTGGTAACAGATGGGCGCGCACACACATTTTCACCTTTCAGCAGCGACTGATAATAATCAATACAAAAACATATTGTTACTTTTATTATTATAAATGAGGTGAGAGAATAAAGCACCTGTACCTGCCCTACTTTTTATAATTGTGAGGGGTAATCGATCTGAATAGGAAAAAATTATAATAGCTATTAATGCTTTAAGCACTTTGAACACAGGCCATGTCTGCTCATGTCTCTGTTTGCCAGAGAAAGTAATAAATATGTTCAGATGGACTTTTTATGACATTGCTCCTCATTTTACATTGTTCTCAACTGGTTGAATACATTTCAGTGAATACATTTCACTTATTGTGAATGCTGCACTATATCCACCAGCGGATTGTTTTCCTCGTGCACACATCAGGCTTAACTGTTATCTACACGGTTTCTGGTTTAATTATTTTGAACTAACTGCAGAGTGGAGATGTGCTGGAAAGATGTTTGTAGCTGACCGACACACAAAGCTCCTCTCCGCTCGTCTTGTGGACAAAGATTTATTTTTTAAATTATATTTGTTGGGTGATTTGTTGATGTCCTGCTGATAGCTGAGGGGAAAAAAAGAAGCTTTAACTCCTCTTTGGTCTGATTCACTGAAAGGACTCTGTTTCAGCTGAGAGGTTCCCTCAGACCTTTCATCACAGCCCCGTTCAGCCCATCTTCTGATCGATGAGCCAAACGTGTCCGTTGAATGCTGCTGGCAGGGTGTCGTTAGTGCTCATCAGATGTTCAATCACAGAGATGATTTGTTCCATTTTGGGACACATGAGGCTGATTTTTGTTTTAGTCAAAACTCAAATATCAATTTCTCACACTCGAGTATTTTTTTTTTTTTATCTGTTTCTTGTTATAATCCATTTGTTGATTTACTTAGCATACAAATATGGTGTGGGGACTTTTATACAACTTGATTTATAACCCTCTGAGATGTTTTTTTTTGGGTTACTTAAAACACAAAGAATAAAATGCACTGTTATATATGAAAGAAAGGGGCAGTTAAGCTTTATTTTTAATATGGGGCCTTAAAATGTGACATTGTCAAACATATAGCAAAATAATCTGTCTATCTTTTTGTATGTCGTCATTATCTGCTGAACGAATGTGTTTGCACTTTTCACTAATCTTACTGTTAGCTCTTCTCATTTCTGTTTGCTTTAGAAGTGTACACTTAATGCATCAATGAATGTGCACAGCACACACACCACTGTATAAAATGCCTTTTTTTTGTAGAAATGTTCGCAGATGTGTACCAGCATCAGCTAAAAATTACTGTACAGTCTGAATGTCCACGGCAGTGAAAAGTGCTGCACACACATGCACAGCAACACATCTGAGTTGTGTAATTGTTCTTTTTGATTGTAAGAAAAGTCAAAAGTAGTCACAGATTGTAAGTCTCCACCTCTACCTATGGGAACCACTGTAAGAGGCGTCGGTTCTGTACACTAAACTCAACAGCATGGGCAACTGTCGATTCCACTGTACTGCCTTTGTAAAACAATAAAATACTGATACTGTTCAAGTGTTGCCCAACAGCTGTCTTCTCTCTAGTTCCACCTTTACTAAAGGTACACTCATCTTTCCTCGCTTAGTTTAAAAAAAACAAAAAACATTTAACCTCTGTGTTTAATCATGTAGCTACACTTCAGGCATTCAGATTGCAAAACAAGTCAATAAAATCAATATGTAGATAAGCTAGATCATTATACTGCTTTGGGACAAATACAGTACACAAAGTAGTATATTACTTTTTATGTTGAATAAAATGCTTTATTCTCATTTCACTTTATTTAGTTTTAAATAAGTTATTCAGTTTATTATTTAGTCCCTCTTCACAATCTACATAAGTAGTATAGGTCAGATCATCCCTGATGCATCCCTACATTTCTATGCAGATGACACAGTTGTTTATTGTCGAGCTAAATCAGTTGTTAAGGTTGTCCAGTATTTCCAGTCTACATTCGACATTATCCAGTCAGATTTGTTCCATATCAAACTGGTGCTAATTGCTGATAAAACCAAAGGGAGGTTGTTTTCAAACAGGAAGTTGGTACCAACAGTTCTTCCTTCCACGGTATTTTATCTATGAATTATGTCCCTATTGAGCTTGTCGATTCTTATAAATACTTGGGTTTTAAGCTCCATGTCGAAAACTTGGTAAAAAAACTGAAAGTAAAACTGGGTTTCTTTTTCAGAAATGGATCCTAACTGAATGCTAGAAAACACCTTATGCTACATTCCTTCTGTCCATTGACTACGGTGACATTATTTCTATGAACTAGGGGTGCACTGATTGCAGTTTTCTGGCCAATCACCGGTTTCTAAAAAGTCTGACCTGCCGATTCTGATTTTGACCGATATCGATTTTGTTTTATAAGTTTTCACTTTATTTAGTTTTAAATAAGTTATAGTTATAATTATAATAAGTTATAATAGGTCAGGTGTTATAAGGTCACAATGCACCTTCAATTTTATATTATTTTACTGAATAACATACCCTTTAACAATATCCTAGAAACAATCCAAATTTGTTTTAAATGGCCATGAGGTAGTGCTCTGAAATATAAATGAAGTTCAGACAATTGTTAAAACAAAAAAAAAAAGGTAAAATCAGTTTCTCATGCAGGTATTGGCCGATTTCCGATTTACCATAATTAAGGAAATCGGTGCACCCCTAATATGAACGCCTCTACAAGCACCCTGCAGATGTTGGACACTATATCACAGTGCACTAAGATTCAACCCTACTCTTTGCACCCTGTATTCACTGTTTAACTGGTCATCTTTAACTTCACGCAGACTCTCTCACTGGTACATTTTCATATTTAAATCACTTCTTGTCTCCTACATGTCACTTTGTCAGTACAGTGTTCCCTCCGTGAGGACTGAACTTGGCAAAAGGGCTTCTCCTAGCCCACTCCTGTTTACTGGAACATCTTGCAAAAAGATCTGAAGTTGTAGACTTTGGCCTCTAGGGTTTTTTGAACAACTCCTAAGTTCATGGCTAAAACCAACGCAGACATGTTCCTGTTTTTAATGTTTTACATTGTCTTTTTGTTTCATTTTTATATAATTTCTTTAATTTACTTTTCATTTTATATGCTTTTTATATGATTATATTGTCTGTACTTCATCTGTGTTCTTTGTTTAGGTCTCTCTTGTAAAGGAGTCCTCATGACTCACTGAGACTAACCTGTATAAATAAGGTTTAAATTCACCAATGTTGAACGAAGCACCGATTCACAGCAGAAGTTATCTTAGGCTACTACACAAAGAAGAAAAAAAACAAAAACAATTCAGTTTGAAACAAATCTAGTACATATCCAGTCAACTCAAATACAGTCCATTATGAAATGCCAGTCAGTAAAAGTTATCTAAATAAACCACCAGATTGTTACATCTTCTCTTCCTTGCAACAGACCTTTCTGCAGTTGCTTAATGTGCATGCATAAAACTGGGTAGTACTCCACCCCAAATAGTTTCATAGCTATGTATTTTACACCTGCTTTTATTAACCAATATACACAATTGTATTTGTAAATTAGTCTTATTGGTATTTTACTTTGAGTGAGGCATGTGACTGAATGCAGAGCACAGCTGAAACAGATATTAACATTGTTTCGACCAAGTGCATTTCCTTGAACCGAAAAGTGGACATTTAAACCACAATGCATCGCAAAATACTAACTTTGAGCATGTACATTAGTAACTGTAAGAAGGTCAATCCCCCATCCTGAGAAGAACAGAGGCGACAGTGGAAAGTAAAGGCGCCCTTTTAACAAGCAGAAACCTCCGGCAGTACCAGGCTCATAATGAGCAGCCATCTGTCTCTACCTGGTGGGGATTAAAGAGACAAACAGAAAGTGGTCAAAGTGTAGTTCCTACAAAAAGAAAAAAACAAAAAAGAAAGATGGCAACTGTAATTTACACTAAAAAGGAACATTTAATCATATCGTTAAAAGTAGAGAGTACGATATCAGCCTCAGGGACAGAAACTGGAAGTTGGTTCCACAAGAGAGGGATCTGATAGCTAAAAGCTCTTCTTTCCATTTTACATTTGGAAACTTTAGGAACCATAAATAAACCTACAGCTGACGAGCAAAGTGCTGTTAGAAAAAATATGAAGGAATTTGATCTTTAACACAAGATGAAACAGGGTTGTTGAATGTTTTGCATACAAGGAGAAAGCCTTCAACTCCTATCCTGAATTTTATGACCGTAATAATCAGATATCTTTGTCATATGTAGAGGAAAGGCAGCAAAGTTCAAACTAAAACCATGCCTAAGGCATTTAGGAAACAAATGCCAATGACAGGCTTTTCTCAAGTTACTGTTTATGATTGTATTGCATTATAATCAAACTGACAATAATTGGTTTCAATCTGACTTTAATGGACTTGTTTGTACCCTGAGACTACTTTGGTTGTGAATTGGAGCTATCTAAATAAAATGAACTGAATTTTTACACAAGTACACTTGACAAGAGAGACATACTGTATTTATTTTATTAAACACCTTTACATGTGATGGAAGTTGTAAATCATTCAGTAAACTCTATATCTGTGAAAGACATCTAGATGGGTTAAATAATTAATAGGTCTTGGTCCTTTTATGTAAAGGCATCTGTTCTGAGCTGGTTAAATTAACTCCAACTTCTTATTTACATGTTGAAAAGGAAACTGCTCTGACCAACAGCTTTTATAACCATTTTAAAAGTCATGGACAAATGGAAATCCATTTTCAGAATTCATTCTGGATTTTACGACGTGATGTTTCTTTAAAAGTTAGCTTTTGCCGAGTTATGTTTTTTTCATCCCTGTAGCTGTGCGAGGAGCTGCTCTCTGCGCTCTGCACTGATGAAGAAGCGGAGTTTCCTTGGCAACAGCCTTATCTCTACAGGCATGGCCTCATACTCCTCGTTGTCAATATTGTAGAAGCCAGAGGCACCCTGCAGGAGCGATAGAAAAACTATATGTTACATGACAAACACACAAATAATGACTTATAAAAATAAGATTAAATACAAGTTAAAGCAAAACTGGTCAGATTTGCCCTAAAATTATGCAGCTAAAATTAAATCTACAATCATTTAAACTATTTCTCACCTCGAGCAGCTTTACGTGACAAGCACTGGCTTCCAGTTTTGTGGAATTTTCTGTGAATATTGTTGGGTCCTTTTGTTTTTTATTTCTGTGAAAAAATATTTATAAAAATAACTAATACAAATTAAAATCTTTTAATTCTTTTAAGCTTTAAAGTGTTCTGAATGACCCAGTGAAGACTGTTGGTACTGACCCGACAGAGATGAACTCGCCCACGGTAAAGTTGTTTGGCTCGGCACAGATCATCAGAGAGTCATTTACTCGCTACAAATTCAAATAAAAGAGGCACAGAAATTAGAGATACAAAGACAGATGAAGCCTAAAATGCACGCTATGGCTTTTTAAAGAGTAATTGCTACATTTTAAAAATCAAATAATTATCCCACTGACCCTCTCCACTGGGTTTTTGTTGTGTGTTTGAATGTAGAACTCCACTGTCGACAGCTGCTGTTCTTCCCACTTCTCTGGCTCTTCCACTTTTGGAGGCTCTGAGCAAAAACAGATTCAAAAAACAAATTTAAATGCTATGCTGCACTCCAGACATAATAAATACAGAATGTTGTTTTTTTTACCTTCAACTGGAGGGTTCCAGTAGTTCTTCAGTCTGCGGATGATGCGGTAAATCAGGTTAGGCCTGGGGGGCTTCTGAGAGGGCAGGTCAGGAGGGCGAAGTGTGGGAGCTAAATGAGAAATGGAAACATCTCGGACGACAGGCCATTCCTAAAAAATACACACAAATACATACAAATAAATACAACTGTATTAAATTTAAAAGATACAAACATTTAATAAAAATAAATAAATCTGCAGCATAAAAAAAAAAAAAAAAAAAAAACGCTCCAAAATGTAATTTTATATGTACATGAAAAGAAGAAATTTAAAAAAGTACACTAATGAGATTCAAATGTCAAAGATTTCAAAATCAACTTTATATTCTGACACGATGTGCATCCAGAATCTTGAAGAACAAACAAACTTTACCCTCAGGGTGTAAAGCCAGTGCGCTGCGCTGGTCTTCAATGGTCCAAGGTACCAGTATCTGTTTGGACAAGATATTAAAGTAAATTTGTCCTGTTTATAATGAATCATGTAATCAGTGTGACCATCTGGGTAATTTTACTTGCTAATTTTTGCAGCTGCATCTCTAAAAGCACCCCAGCGCAATCCAACCAAAGAAAAGACAGGCTGTTCTTTCTCTCCCTGCAAAAACAAACATACAAATACAAAGCAAAAAACTTGTAATTAAGCATCATTAGTAACTTTTTTTTAACACCTTGTCAAGGCAATGCAATACTCTTCAATAATCATTTCAGGTTTTTCAAAATAAAACAATATGTTTAATCTATTAAACAAGTTATGATAGTCGTAGTACTCATAGTGTGGATGAGAGAAATCTGCACCAGACTGAAGTGTTTCTTACTTTGATTTGTAGCACATCCAAAGGTACAGTCTCTCCTTTCAAAATGGACAACGTGGCTGATGTAATGTTTCTAAAACATATCACAGAACGTAAGAAACTATCACACTGTAAAAGCCATACATGGGTTATATGAAATAAAATCAGTCTATTCATCAGGGGCTTGTTTCAGACATTCATGTTACTTACTTCACCTTGTTGTCACTAAGTAGATGAAGACTTGGACTCAGGGAATTATTAGCACCCAGTGGAATGAATCCAATTGGTGTATTACTGAAGGTTTCCTATTATCAGAAAATGCACTTGTAATGAATTTTCCACTTATTAGTTGATGCAAATTATTATAGAACATGAGAATAATACAGGAAATTAGCTAATTGATATTACTTGATCTGGCCTCCGCAGTAAACCTGTGATGACCTCCTGCAAAGTGCCGTCCCCTCCAGCTACAATCAACATGTCTGTTTGTTCCATAAGCTCAATCAGTTTTTTTGCCTGGCCTTCATAGTCAGTCTGGAGAGGAAAATAACAAATAACATGATCTCATGCATGGTAACCCTTTCCCAAGCCACTAAAATGAATACATAATGAAAAAGATTTTTTGACGATACCTTGACTACAGTAATCTCCACTCCAGCCAGGTGTAAAATAGGTGCAGCATTCTTTTCAAACAAATTGTTGGCTTTCCTGGATAAATTTAAAACGGAAAAATAGATTTTAAGAAAGGTGGGTATGTGAATTAACTGTTTATATTTCTCTTATCCTCTTACCCACTGGAAGCTGCAGGGTTCAAAATCACAGTGGCCTTTTTCAGCTGCTCCTGGGGTGCTATCAATTGACGTCCAAATTCCTAACGATAAAATAATGGTTTATTGAGTACTAAATGTCATTGTGATTGTATTTTAATAGGCGATACTTTACCTTTGCCAACTGACAAGCCTCTCTGCGCACAGCATTGTCACTAATAAAACACAATGTACAGCATTTAGGACAAAGGAACAAAATCATTAGTCAAAATCTAAAAGCTCAGAAACCCACCATTGTTTACCATACAGAAAGTATCCCCCGTAGGACAGGACGCACACAGCGACTGTAGATTTCTTCCAGTGATTTCGTAGAGTCCGAAACACTTTTACAACACGAGCCATTGTTATAATACTAAAAGCCTCTCTATTATTGTGAGTAGCTACATTTACAGCCGTAAATATAACTGAAAGTCACGAATAATAGATTTTTACTAGAGCGGTCACACGCCTTTACTACATGTACTTACTAGTGTAACGTTAAAACAATACCGACCGAAACACAAGGCGGAACACATGTTAGAGCGTGTGAAAGGAAAACATATTCTTGTCTATCCCATTGTTTGAACTAAATAACATATAGTATTATTTCAAAAATAGTGAAACAGAATTTTAAGTTAATCTAAATTATTTCTTAGGCTAACGTTTACATGTTTCCCTAGTAAACTACAATTCCCGACATAGAAATACACAAGCTCAGTTTCATTAAAGGACCTCGCCTGAAAGTTTCACCAAAAGCAATGAAAAATATATCAATCCAATTTATTAAGTGAGTTTACATTTTATGTTAAGAGTGTAATTGTTCAGTAAACTCTACCAAAGTGACTCTATGTTTTTTCATATGGTATTTAACATTTTACATTTCACACCGGCAGAAACCAGCCAGATCCTACTAAAATTGTCAGTGTGTCTATCATGGCGGCTCCGATGGCGGTAAATTCAGGTAGCAATGCTTATTTTATTAAGTAGTTTTGTTGCAACATTTTAGCTTATGTGAAAATAATTAATATCACAATTAAAGGCGAAGAAGCAATAAATTTAATTGTCAGTGTTCTGTTATTACATATTGAGTGCATTAATCTGACTGAAGTTCCGGCTCGGGGCTGTTGGGCTACTTAGCTTAGCCTGTCAGATTAGCATGTGTGAGTGTTCATAGGCAATTGTTCTACCTCATTTCACTGAGAAAAACAGATACATTGTATGTGTTAGATGGACTGTACTTATATAGCGCCTTTCTTTCTAATCAAGATACTCAAAGCGCTTTACAATACAATGTGTGCCCTCATAATTGATTTACCCATCCACACATACAGCACTCTATCTGCAAAGCTAATCTGAATCTGTAGAGACATTAGTTTAGATCACATTCATTCACCGATGGGACACACATCAGAGGCAATGAGGGGTTTAGTGTCTTGCCCAGGGACACTTCAACATGTGACTGATTGTTGATGGAATCGAACCTCCAGCTTTCCCATTGAAGGACGATTGCTCTAACCACTTAGCCACAGCTGCCCCATAAATAATAAGAAATAAATATCCTGATGCATGCTCAATAATCCAGGTAGAAAAATCTAAAAAA